TACTTTGGTTTTCTTTTTCTAATTTCTTAGAGTCGATACTTAGGTCATGGTTTTTCAGCTCGTTTTTCTTTCTACCTCATAAATTTTTCTGTACACATGGATTTAATTATATTACACATTTTCACTCATTTCAGTCTCTTCTAATTTTCATGATGATGTCTTATTTGTTTAATGTTTTATTCAAAAGTGTATTTCTTGATTTCCAAACATGTATTGATTTTAGATTCATCTGCTATTACTAATTTCAAGTTTAATTTCATACTGGACTTAAAATATCCTATGTATGACTTCAATACTTCTAAATATATCAAGACTTGCTTTAGAGCCTAGCATATGGTCAATATTTGTAAATGTTCTGTATACATTTGAAATACATTATGTGTATTTTGTAGTCATTTATGGCAGTGTCTTATATATATCAATTAGATCAAATCTGTTAACCATGTTGCTTAAATATTTCATACTCCTTCTGATTTGTTTGCTTGCTCTATCAGTTAGTGTGACGGGGAGGCTGTAAAGTCTGACTATGACTATGAATTTGTCCTTTTCACACATGTTCTTTTCAATTTACTTCCTTTATTTGGCTTACCGCTTTCTTCAATGTTGGAATTTTTTTTTTTTTTTTTTTTTTTTTTTTTTTTTTTTTTTTTTTTTTTTTTTTTTTTTTGAGACAGGGTCTCACTCTGTTGCCCAGGCTGGAGTGCAGTGGCATGAACATTGCTCACTGCAGCCTCGACCACCTGGGCTCAAGCAATCCTCCCACCTCAGCTTCTTGAGTAGCTGTAGGCACATGCCACCACACCCAGCTATCTTTTTTTTTATTTGTTTTTATTTTTATTTTTGAGACGGAGTCTCGCTCTGTCGCCCAGGCTGGAGTGCAGTGGCCGGATCTCAGCTCACTGCAAGCTCTGCCTCCCGGGTTTACGCTATTCTCCTGCCTCAGCCTCCCGAGTAGCTGGGACTACAGGCGCCCGCCACCTCGCCTGGCTACTTGTTTGTTTGTTTGTTTGTTTGTTTGTTTTTAGTAGAGATGGGGTTTCACCATGTTAACCAGAATGGTCTCAATCTCCTGACCTCATGATCCGCCTGTCTCGGCCTCCCAAAATGCTGGGTGTCTTTTGTATTTTTTGTAGAGATGGAGTCTCACTACATTGCACAGGCTGGTCTCAAACTCCTGCGCTCAAGTGACCTGCCCACCTCACCCTTCCACAGTGCTGGGATTGCAGGTGTGTGCCAATGTGCCTGGCCAATGTTGGAAATTTCGATTCAATTTTTATTTTCTGATTCCATGAGACTGAAAAAGCCCTACTCAGCCTCTGAGCCTCTAGTTCACTCTGGTATAATTGACAGATGCTGCTACGGGAAAAGCATCCACAAATGTCAGGCTCCTCTCTCTGGGTTTTCTTTTTCTTCTAGAACTTGGCACGGTAATTCTTTTTTTTTTTTTTTTTCATTTTTTTTCTTTTTTCTTTAAATTATACTTTAAGTTCTAGGGTACATGTGCACAATGTGCAGGTTTGTTATATATGTATACATGTGCCATGTTGGTGTGCTGCACCCATTAACTCGTCATTTACATTAGGTATATTTCCTAATGCTATCCCTCCCCCCTCCCCCCTCCCCACGATAGGCCCCAGTGTGTGATGTTCCCCTTCCTATGTCCAAGTATTCTCATTGTTCAATTCCCACCTATGAGTGAGAGCATGCGGTGTTTGGTTTTTTGTCCTTGCCGTGGTTTGCTGAGAATTATGGTTTCCAGCTTCATTCATGTCCCTGCAAAGGACATGAACTCATCCTTTTATATGGCTGCATAGTATTCCATGGTGTATATGTTGGCACAGTAATTCTTTACTGTTTTGTGAACTCCACTAACTCCCAAAAGATTTTAAAATATATTTTGTTTAGATTTTCTAGTTCTCATCAGAAGGGAATAGTAAAAATTATTTAGGTCCCTATTACTAGAAACAGAATCTCACCTTTATGTTTTCATATGCATACTTGACAAATTACCAGTTACCTAACTCCCGAATAATACAAGGCTTCCCAAATATTTCATTCAGGACACTCCATCTTACATACTATTAAAAGATAGTATTTTATTTCTACATTTATTCTAGCTCCAGATTTTTTATTATTATTATTTTGTACTCAATAGTCAGTGCTTTGTCATCTCTCTGGGCTAGTGGGTCCAGTTAATTACTCACCATCTTACTGAAATTGCAGCCTTTCAAGTGTCTCCAACTTTATACTGGAAATTTAGTCCAACTCCCCATCTGAAATGGGTCCAATACCTCATCTCTTTTTTCTTTGTGGACGTAAGTACCCAAGCCCCTAGTCGTAATTGGGTATAATAACTCTCAAGACTGCTAGAGAATTGACTGCTTTGGCTTTTAGCATCCTCTTTGCTTCTGGCATTTGAAGATTTCTCTTTTTTTGTGAGCCAAGACATGCAATTTAAAAAATTGTTACATTATATCCAACATTTCTAATGGTTTATATACAGATAGTTTGAAAATAGCCTAGTCTGCTATTTGGCCAATACTGTTCATCTAGTTCTATTACTTTTCAGACAGAAATCAGAATGTCATACTCCTCGATGCCTAACATTTATAGTTGTACAAAGCAATATATGAAAAATGTTTGCTTCTAACTATTCTAGTCAGAACTGTCTTGACTAGCTTTAACCAATTAGCGCCTAATCTTATAAAGGCCCTTTCAGTTCAGTTTTTAATGTCTTGGGGGAAGGCCGTGAAGGGGAACAGAATGATAATATCAGCCTTACTGCAAGAACTGAAATTATAAATACAAATTATCAGAGATTCAGACCAAGATTCGGGACCAGGGGTTCTTTCAGGATAATTCTACCTGAGCTACCACTTTTTAAGCCAAGGCCCACCTTTTTAAGATACGTTTTTCTGTGTCCTAGACTTTTCTCACAACCTGATGATACCCTGTACAGCGTTCCATTCACGTTTCCACCCCTTCCAATTTGGATTTTCAACTACACCTTTGTCAGTACAGCTCTTCCTAAAGTCATCAACAAATTCCATGTTGATAAATCCAATGGGCACTTCTCTGGCTGTGCCTTACTTGACCTCTCAGCAATATTAGATGTAGTTAAACACTCCTTTATTAAAAAGTGTCTTCTTGGGCTTTAGTTACACCACAATCTCCTGGATTTCTTCCTATCATTCACCACCTTCTCCATCCCAGTTTCCTTTGATGGTTCCTCTTTTTTATGCCTGATCTTTCTTCAGGGCTCTTCTATTCCCTCTTTAGGGATATCAACCAGTTATTTCCATGCCTTTAAATACCACCTATATGCTAAAGATGGCCAATTTTATATCTCTAGCCCTGGCCTGTCAGAATCATATATCCTACTGGTTGCACTGACATTTTCACTTGGCTTTTTACATATATCTTAAGGTTAATCTGTTTGATCTTCCACCCTTATTTTTCCCTTAGCCTTTCTCATTTCATTAATGACAGCATTATCTGTCCATTTGTTTAAACCAAACTTTTATTTTTCCCTTTCCTTCATCCTTTATATCCAATTTTGAGCAAGTCCTATTGATTACATCTCTAAACTATATTTCAAATCTATCCAACAGCCTTGTGAGGTATAAGTGTTATTACTTTTATTGCATTCTTACACAAACAGAGATTAAGACAATATGTTAGTAAGTTGCCTAAGGGTCCATAGGTACTAAGCAGAGGAATCAGGGATGCAGTTATCTTTATTTCAAATCCACTACTCTTTCCATCATACCCTGACCTTCAAAGAATGCTTATGAGTAAACTTATGAACAAATTGATCCAGATTATAATAAAACTCATAATCATGGCTTTTTCAAAAGAATATTGTCATCTACTGAAAAATAACTTTGCTATCTGTGGAGTATATTAATATCAATGCCTCTAAATATATTAAACTAGTTTCAGACTGTGGAAGAGACAACCCGGCTTCCAGAACACCCTCTTTTCCTTTCAGGAATATGTGGTCTATTGTTCCCAAAACATATTTCATTCTTTCCGTAGGTTTTTATCCTACTTCTCTTCCTCCAGCAAGGGAATTAGATCACAAAAGAGGCTTCCCTGCTTTTATGTTGGTTTATCTACTGTCATGACTTTATTAATATTCAACATTTCTCAACAAAAAGTCAAAGTGACAAAGGAAAGAAACTCAGCAGAGCCAGTACACATCATCATTATTATACTGTCTAAATACTGAGTAGCATTTGAAGATAAGAAGGATGTGTACTTTAATCAACCAGGGTTAATTTTATATGCTTAAAATAAATGCAAATATTGTTAGTATGATCAGGGAAACCAGCTGGTTGTCATCATTGACATCTTTACCTTTTTCATATTTTGAATTTTATTAGAAAGTTATTATCTTTCCAATTAATGAACTTGTCTTTCTGAATGAAGTTAGGGCACTGTTTTATTAGGATTTTTTCCCCTAGTGATATCTTATAGTATCATAAAATCCCTGCAACATTATCTGTGATCTTAATGAATTTTTAGTGAAACCCACTTGGCATTTGTTTGTCATTAATCTCATTTCTAAGCCTTGAATGCCGTTATCATTTTATAGACTTCTCAAAATCAGTTTGGCTTAGAGTTTTATATTATTCTTAGAGACTTAACTACCTCTTTTTAGAGTTTCTTGCACATTCATTCAGAATGCTAGAGATCTTTGTGACATCTTGTTTATATAAATTGTTTGTTAACATTTTGTTTAAAATATAAGTATAGGCAGGGCATGGTGGCTCACATCTGTAATCCTAGCACTTTGGGAAGCCAAGATGGGAGGATCACTTGAGGCCAGAAGTTCAAGACCAGCCTGGTTAACATAGCAAGACCCCATCTCTATTAAAATAATAAATAAATAAAATATAAATATAGACTGGGATTTTTGGTAATTCTAATGTTTTTTGGAAGAATGGCTGCTGGTTTTAACAAAATATGTTAATATATCTTCTTTGAATTCCCCACAGAGCTGTGTACCATGGAGTGTGGTAGCCATGGAGTCTGCTCAAGAGGAATTTGCCAGTGTGAAGAAGGCTGGGTAGGACCAACATGTGAGGAACGCTCCTGTCATTCTCATTGTACTGAGCATGGCCAATGCAAAGATGGAAAATGTGAGTGTAGCCCTGGATGGGAGGGCGACCACTGCACAATTGGTAAGTACCACCATACTTTAATCAAAGTAAATTGAATTAGTTGAAGTTAAGAGCAGTCTAGTGAGTCAATCACTAGGCATTTAGTAGAATTTGAGGTTGGAGTAGAGGAGGACAAGGAGGGTTGGTTACAAGTTTTAAAGTTTTGTGAACTGATAAGTTTCTTCTTTTGTCGATGATATTCTATGTATTTTTTGTGTTGTTTCATTTCTTATTACTTCAGTATTCCTTATGTTTTCTGCTTTCAAGTGCTTTGAGTTACTCAAGTGAAAGATGTTACATTGGAATAAAGTGTCATTAGTTAATAACAAAAGTGCTTTTGTTGTGAAGGTAACATTCTCTGCCCATTTTTCCTTTTGAAAAGTATAGGTTGTTTCGGTTGAAAGCACTTAGAGGCAATTTCATTAAATGGGACTACTTTAACAGGGGCCATTCAATATCATTAGAGGCTGTCTTTAATGTATATGAGGAAGGCACTTCTGACCTATCATCAATAGAACATTTGTGTTGAATTGTTTATCTGGTAGTGTAGAGAGTTGGTCCTGAAGCCACCACTCTCTCTTCACCCCTTATTGCTAATTTCACAAAGGGAAAATGGTCTGTGAATACGGAAAAGCTTATGTAATAATTAATCTATCATGTGATCTTCACACTATAAAAGATATTAAAAATAAATATTTCAGTTATAAAACACTTTCTTTTTCTGAAAAAAAAAGCAAAGCCCTTAACATATATTTCTATCCACCACAAAGGTTTCTATGCAACAAACCTTTGCATAGAATGGTTGTCACTGATACAGAGTAACAAGTATGATTCCCATTATTCAACTAAAGAAAGTGGGTCATAGAGTGTTCCAGTGGCATTCCTTGACTATGCAGAAAATTCCTGCAGAGCAAAGGCAAATGTGGGCCTCTGGATGCCCAATTCATTGTTTGTAGGCTTTTCCCTCACTAGACTATACTACAGCTTTCATTTTTAGGTGAAAGTATTTTCTTATAATGGTTGGAACTTGCCAAAGTAATGTATAATATATATAATACATATAACATATAATCTTCATAAACTGCATTACTTCTCTACTAAAGGTACAGTAAGTCTTGTTCTGCGACTGTGGGAAATATTTAAGATTCATTAAAAAGGTGGAGAGGGGTGAGATTCAGATGTGTAGCTTAAGTAGTTACATTCCTGTACTACAGTAGGTTTATTGCCTTTACATAAGAGGATTTAAATATTGTGATGATTACCATAGGTGTTTACTCCAGAACTCCCTTCTAAAGATATTACTAATAAGAAGTTGAAGCCAGTGCTCTTTCACAGAAGTTATTACTGAAATGTGAAAATGCAGTATACTTCTTATACTTCTAATGAAATATGACACTTTTTAGGAAGCCTAATAGAGTTTCTTGAAAAAATACCATTAATATCATTCTCACAGAAAATATTATTCACAGACTACACAGACCCATGTACCCAACTTTTGAGCTGCAGGCATTTCAGCAGTTCACAGTTTGCTGTTCTCCTCCTAGGCAACAGATGATTAGTACATATTGTATAGCTTTAGTCTGAAATTCATTTGTCATATAGTCAGAAACTCGTTTGATCATTCTTTTCCCCTCCCTTTTAGCTCACTACTTAGACGCTGTCCGAGGTAAGATTTTTCTCACTAATTTTATAACAGAAATATATTTTTAAAAGAAAATATGCATGTGAGAAAGAAAGGGTGGTGTTTTTTGCCATTTGTGTTGTTTGTTTTTATTTTTGGCAATCTTATTTAAATATAGTGTTCTCAGTTTCATGCTAAAATTGTCACACTAAAAGGTAATTTGCTCTTTCAACATCGAAGAGTCACTTTTTGCCATAGTATAGAATGGACTGATAAGCAGTTTTAAGGACTATTTTCTCTTGTCTTTATATTGAGTTCTGTGTATGTGTGTGTGTCTGGATCTGTGTGTGTAACACAGGTTAATTATTAAATAATTTTAATACTTTAATAATTATTAAATAATTTGGTTCAGAGGATGAACTTTTTCTTTAACATAACAATGTAGCTCCAAGTCCATATACAAGGACTCCTAAGTCCTTACAAGGGCAGGAGAATTATCCTCCTAGAAGTATCCCATCATACATCCCTCCAGGGAGCTTCCTTTAACAGAGACAGCAAAGGTTTTTCTGCCAGATATCCTAGTGCCTTTCACTACCTCAGCTTCAGTAGCTTAATATGTCCCAAATTATTCTTTATTTCATCTTAATTATCTATTGCATATCCATTAGAACTACAAAATTTCCCTTCTCAAACTTATGTATGTTCATCATATGCCATGTAATGAGTATATTACATACATAAAGCTTTCCATATTTTCTAACAGCCATCTCTCATTTTATTTTTAAATTTTTTCTTCCTCTGGTCTGTTGATAGTTGTTTGGAAAACTATTTAGAAGGAACACTGGGTTACTTCTACAGATTTTTTAAATTTTTTTTTTGTTTTTTGTTTGTTTTTTGTTTTGCTCTTTATGCTTTTGGAATTTTATTTCAAAGAAAGAAACCGAAATGAATATTGACTGGACTATTCCCTGTAAAATTCAGGTCTGGTCCTGTGTTGCTACTAGGAAAACACCCAGTAGCATTATAGTTGGTTTCTCCATTCATCTGCCCACTGCGCATGTGGCACATGTGAAGTTACCCTTTGCTAGAGCTGAACTCCAAACTACGGGTACAAAGAATAGGGCATCCCTGAGAAATTTAAAGTCTAAAGAGGAACCATTGTCAGTGTTGATGCTTCATCAATGGATAAAAGTTATTTAAATGCTACACTTTCCTCTTGACTTGATATTTTCCAGTTTTCTATAATTCAGAAAGTCTAAATCTAGCATGTATTAATTCCATAAACCCTTATTTAACATTTAATATTATTGTTACAAGCATAATATCATGCAAGCTTTTGAGAGAGATACCATAGAAGTAAAGATTTCAATCCTTAGCCCACAGATGAATAATAATCTTGAAGAGAAAAGGTGAATAAATATGAAGCAACTACAGCACATTTCTAAGGCACCATGTGAACAAATACTTAATGGTGTGGTCTGAACTGTATACCAACATACTTAAGTTCTGAAGCAATACATCACAAGGGAAAATCAGCACAAGCTAGAAGTAGTAAGGGAAAGTTTTTCTTCATAGGGACTGCTATCTTTTCCCAACATATTGGCCATAACTAGATACAGTGTCATCCATATAGTTTTGATTGAGATCAGGAGATATGTTTATTGAAAAGAAAAAAGAATTTTTGCCCCTGCCATAGTTTTCTTCCTATGTGAACCAGGGGTTGGGAATTGGGGTTAGCATTAATAAAGCTTAATTGGCTCTCTAAGGAAAACCACTGCAGAGTAAGGGATAACAAGTTCCCTGGGAAGGTTTTGCAAGCAAGCAAGCTCCTCTTCCATTTATTCAACACCTCCTCTGAATGGGGCCCAGATGATTAGATGCTTCCCTATAGGCAAATACATCATTGTTGGCCAATCCCACTCTGATGTCTCTGTGATGGTTACTCTCTGATGTCTTTTCAGATGGCTGCCCAGGACTCTGCTTTGGAAATGGACGATGTACCCTGGATCAAAATGGTTGGCACTGTGTGTGCCAGGTGGGTTGGAGTGGGACAGGCTGCAATGTTGTCATGGAAATGCTTTGTGGAGATAACTTGGACAATGATGGAGGTGAGTCATTTATAAAATGTTCACGTAAGAAAGGAATAGCCCAGCCTCTAGCACAGTGGTAATCAACCTGGCCAAGGGTGAAAATTAGGAATCTCTAGTATAAATGATACTGAGTTATATAGGGTAATGCTACCTTTTAGTCTCAATCACATTAAGAAATTACTTACTGAATATTTACTATGACCAGGCAGTACTCCAATTTTTTTTGCATGTGTTATGTATCATTTAATTCTCACAATAACCCTATGAGGCTTAGGTGCTACTATTTTCCCTACTTGTAGATGGGAAAATTAATGCTCTGGGTGGGGATCGTAAGTGACTTATCCAGAATCACATAGCTAGAGAGTAGCAGAGCCAAGTCTCCAATTTAGCACTATGTGAGTTCAGAGCATATTTTCTCAACTACTACACCATGCTACCTTCCATACCCATGGTATTTATCATATCAAATTAAATTAACATACCACTATTCAAGTTGTCTGATGTTAGCATGGTTTGCACTAGACACACTAAAATATTTTTCTTTGTTGTTAGTTATTTGGAACTCCCTCTTGTGTGTCTACCTTTTAGTAACACTTTATACCTTTCAGAGGACATAGCATCAAGACAATTTTTGGTGGAATTTTAAATATTTAATCAAGGAGCTGCGCATGATATTTTTTAAAACCATATGTGGCTCCAAGACCTCAGAGTTACCACTTCTCTTAGGAAAGCCAACAAAACATCTAACATACTGTATGATCAGACATCAAAACTGCCCAAACCACCTCTGAATGAGCCTAAAACAACAAATCCTCACTTTCCACATACCTTCTACTTGATGAAACATAAAATTAACAAAAAAAAAAATTTAATTTCTGTATATTAGCTTAAACTGAAGTATATTATTAAATTTGACTCCTCATATTTCTATATCTGCTTGGACAATTGCATTCCTTGTCATTTGAATTCAGACATGGGGCAGACTTATATTAATAAGGTAGCAGTCATGGCTTAAGCATCAAATTGCATTGTAAGAGTTTCTTCCTTTACTTGTTCTGGCTGACAGTTAACCTTTAAAAGTTTTAAGACTTTATCAAAATTAAGTGGAGGCAACTTTGTGATTAAGAACACAGAGATTTGAAGTCAAACTGTCTGGATTCAGATACTAGCTCTGGCTCTTATACTAACTGCATGATTTGGGGCAAGTTTTATGATATCTCTATGCTTCAATTTCCTTATTTCTAAAATGGGTTTGATGATATTAAATGATATTACCATTTTTCCCTATAGTAGAATTAAGATGATATTGATGATAAATATAGATTCAGTTCTACTTTGAGATGGAAAGACAGATTGAATAATTAGACACACTCTGTCTAATAGGGTTGTAATAAGGATTACATGAGATAGTTCAAGTGAGCCACTTGAAAGATAGTAAACTACACCACACACACACACACACACACACACACACACACACACACACACACTTAGAAGAGACTATTTTCTGAAGAGACTGTTTACTACCCATGTAACTTGAAAACCTTGTTTTGGAAACTGGAGAGAAGTTTTTAATCTAATGATCCACTGATAAACTATTTAGTTTATTTTTATGGTCCTCTAAGACTCATCTTCACTTTCCTTCTTGTCTTTTTCATTATATGCCTTTTACCTGGCACGTCTTCATGTCTTCTCCACCCATTATTCTCTGTCCATAATTTAAATCTCAAACTATATCTCCCAGGAAACTTCTGACATCCACCTCCTTAATCACCCATGGTGTTGATAATATGCACCATACAATCAAACACCTAATTATATTCTGTATATGGTTTTCTTGTTGCATGTTAAGCATGACCCATCACCCATTGTTATATTCCCAATATGTTGAAAATAATAGTATCTCACTTGTATTCAGGATTTACTATGTGCCAGGCCCTGTGCTGAGCCCCTTACGTGAATTATTTCATTTAATCCCCATTATGTAGGAACTTTTTTTTTTTTTTTTTTGAGACAGGGTATTGTTCTGTTTCCCGTTCTGGAGTGCAGTGGCACAATCTCAGCTCACTGAAACCTCTGCCTCCAGAGCTCAGGTAATCCTTCCACCTTAGCCTCCTGAGTAGCTGGGACTACAGGCACACACCACCACGCCTGGCTAATTTCTGTATTTTTAATAGAAAACGAGTTTCACCATGCTGCCCAGGCTCATCTCAAACTCCTGGGCTCAAGGGATCTGCCCGCCTCAGCCTCTGAAAGTGTTGGGATTACAGGTGTGAGCCACTGCACCTGGCTAGGAAATACTATTAACACTACTTTACAAATTAGGAAACTGAGACACAGAGAAGTCAAGTAAGTTGTTAAAAATCACACAGTAAGCAAATGATAGGTCCTGGATGTAAACCTAGGTGGTCTGCTTCATTCTAAAAAGGATTTGATATAATAATAGGAATTTCTCAGTTATGTATTGATTAAAAATGTTATGCTCAGAAAACACATTAACAACCTATGCAATTATAATTTCTGGCTCAGTTAAGGTTGAGCCAATGTTTCCTGCCTTAGTAAAGTAATAAAAATAATTGAATATTTAATTATCACCATTTTTTATGACCTCAAGGTCATCTCAAGGCAGCCAAAATGTTTAAAGAATGGATCAATTAAATATTAATGAATTAATGAATTATCAATTCTCAATGCCTGTGGTCTATGTAGATTCAGAAGACATAGAAGATTTCACTGAATGTGTATTGACCTGTGAACATTCCTTAAAACTATGTCTCTATATGCAAATTAAATATCAAAGACTTTGATATGAGCTCAGTATGTTTTTATGATTGTCTCTTTAGGGAGCAGGGGGGAAGGCTCCTTGAGATTTCCAATTACCATTTTTCCCTATAGTAGGATTAAGATGATATTGATGATAAATGTAGATTCAGTTCAACTTTGAGATAGAAAGATAGATTGAATAAACTCTGAAAGCCCCATGACTAAGATTTTAGACCAATAATTCCATTTTTATACTGTTCAAACATTACCCCTAAGAATACATTAAATGCCCTTCATTTGGTAGTCTCAGCTTTCCAGCTATCCATAATGGCTGGTTTCATTTAGTTAAATATGACTAATTATTAATATTTGCTTAATTTTAATATTAATATACTTGTTTGTGCATGTGTGTATATGTGTGTGTTTTAATTACATTAGAAAGTACCAATTGAACCTTTTTGGGAAAAAGTGGTCCTAATTTTAAAAATGTAATTCTTAAGAAATCTTTCCAATCAAAAAAAAATCACTTTCAAGCATTTGCTTCAAGTAGCTGCTACCTGATTACTCCATATTATAACTGATACTTAAAGAATGGTGGAAATTTTTTGCATTCTAATCAGTTTCGAATACTCATTAGTATTGCTGCTACTTCCTGCAGCTTTGACTTTAGTTACACTCTGATTCAATGCATTGTGATTCTCAGTAAGTAATTGGGCTGCATTGAATATGTGGGTGACACTGCTGGTCCAGAAACTACCTAAAAGCTCCTTGAACAGTAAAAACAGAACAGAGAAGAAATAACCTTTCGATGTTTTTTCTTAAGTGCAAAAAAGGAAAGCTATCTTACGTGTTATATATATAAGAACTAATTACTATAGAAGTCACAAACCTAGGAAATGTCTTGACCTCATTCATCTCTTTAATCAAGAAGCGCCTACCACATGCACAACCCTATACTTGGAGGAAAAAACTTATTATGGTTACCACATTTTTATTTGCTAATTATGTGTCCTAATTTGGAGTTTGTTACATATGATCACCATACATTACATGCACGTATGAATTAACATCAGAAAAAAGTTTGAACATAATATTAACTGAGTCAGAATAGCTAAAACAAATAATAGTGAAAGGAAGATAGAACTATCAGACATTAAGGCATATTTGAAAGCTATGATAATTAAAGCAAAGTGGTACTGATGTGAGAATAGACAGATTAATGCAACTGAATAAAAGCTCTAGAACACACCCAAGTACAAAATTTAGTATATTATAAAACTGGCATCAAAAATCAATGGGGGAAATAAGCATTATTAAATAAATGGGACAACTCTTAAGAAAAATGCCTTAGATTTTTTAATTCATACCATATACTAAAGAATAAGATAAATAAAAATACTTCAACTGGATTAATGAGTTAAAATTAAAAGAAAACAAACAGAATTTAAAAAATAGGGATTACATCTTACAATGAGAAAGGACTTTGTAAACATAAAAAGAAAAGAAACCATAATAGGAAAAAAACCCAATAAATTTGACTTAGAAAAAATTTAAAACTTTTATATAATGTTTAGCTAAATGTGCAGACCATCCAATATCTAAATATTTGCAGACATCAAAATCTACACTATCTAGTATGGTAGTCACTGGCCACATGTATTTAAATTTAACTTAAATAACATAAAAAAATTTAGGTTCTCAACTGCACTAGTCACATCTCAAGTGCTCAATAGCCACACGAGACTAGTAGCTACTGTACTAGACAGCACAGTACTAGAGCATTCTCATCTTTAGGAAAAGTTATATTGGATGGTGATGATCCAAATGTCTCACTCAAATGTTTACCTTTCAGCCAAACATTTCACATTAAGTACCCAGTTTTCCATTAATTCATTACTACTTCTTGCCAACTGTTGTGCTTGGCACTGGGGAGAAAATGATAAACAGTACAAGTTTCTGCCTTCATGGAGCTTATGGTCTAGCAAGGCAGATAGATATTAAACAACCCACACAAATATGAGGGGACTGCAAATAGTTCATGGAAAAGGGGACTTAAAATATAAATATTTAAAAATATAAACTTTGTTTCTCAACAAAACTATAAACTTTATTTCTACATCAAGTTCAAGACAATTTTGTAAGGGATGAGTCCATCCTGATATAACTGAGGGTCCTGGGAACTTAACCAGTCTTCTTTACATTGTTAACTGAAGAAAAATGGGTGCCCATTAAAGATTTTTTAAGATTAGGAAACA